GTGGGCATTCTAGTGCTTACAGTTTTTCCGAGAGTCCCTGTGCCACACTTGGTCGAAAGCACCAATAATGTCCAGTTCTACTATACAGTTGGCCTTGGATTCATTTCTCTTCCCCTTCCTTCCTTAGCTTGCCTCCTCCCTGTCTTCTCTAGGGCACTGCTGCTACAGTAAGGAAAAAAAAATTAGTACCTCAAGGCACTGTCCTGGCACGTCTGCTGTTTATCCTCATAACAGACATGGATAAAAACACTCGTAACAGTTTTGTATTGTATTATCATTTGCAGATGACAGTAAGATCACCATGAAAGTCACCTTGGTAGAAGACACTGAAAAACTGCAGGAAGATTAACAAGATTTTCCAGTGGGCAATGGAAAATACCATGAAGTTCAGTTGTGGTAAGTTCCAGCTGCTTAGATATAGAAAGAATAAAGAACTCAAAAGGGACACTGTATACAAAACTCGAAAGGATCGTCCAATAGAACGAGAGAAACTTGTGAAAGACTTGGGAATAATTATGTCGAATGACTCCTCTTTCAAAGAACACAAGACCAAGGTCACGGCAGCCAGGAGGATGACTGGGTGGATAATGAGAACTTTCAAATTGAGGAAAATATTGCCAATGGTGACACTTTTCAAATCTGTTCTCTGTTTTGCAATATTGCTCAGTGTTGATGGCCCTGTTCAGGGCAGGAGAAATGTCAGAGCTGGAACAGATATTGTTTATGGTTAGCATACAGCCAATAATTTAAATTACTGGGAATGACTGTCTTAAATATGTATTCGCTGGAGTGGAGAAAAAAAATATAAATACATGTTCCAAATCCGTACACTGCCATAACATACTGGAGTGAGAGAGATGGGGAGAAAGTGCAAAATAAACCCCATGAAAAGTAGGGGTGTAATGGTCACAGCAGGGGAACTCCGTATTAACATCCATGGCCCTAGGCTATTCAGCATCTTACCAGAAGATATCAGAAACACTGCTGGGACAGGTGTAAAAGTCTTCAAAGAGGAAACTAGAAAGGTATCTTTACCAGGTGCCAGATCAGCCAGTCGGTGATAGACATGTTGGTCAGCAGACCACCAGCAGCAACAGCCTGGTGGACCAGGCAAGCACCAGATGAGCCTAGCGCAAGGCCGGGCTCTTGGAGTAGAAAAAAACTCGGAACTCATCAAAGGTATGCCTTCTTTGGCGCACCTCCCACCACCTCTCGCATTTACCATCTCTCTCTCCAGCTCCCTCTCCCTTGACCACTGCTTCTCTCCCATTACCCCCACTTTCCATCTCCCACCTTTACTTTTCCCCCTTCACATCTTCCCCCCTCTTTCTTTTTCCCCATTGCCATAAGGATGGCTTCTGTCAAGAACATTTCTGGCCATGTCCCAGTAACCTGGAGATTAAGGGCTAATCAACCAAGCTGCACACAATCCAGTGTACGAACCACAACCCAGTCGGTCAGGCACTGATTTGAGGAACTTGTCCTGTTTACTCTTGAAGATAGCTAGGTGTTTGTTGGCTTTTTCCCCTAATACATGGAGGGAGAGCAATGAAGGGTCAGTTCTCTTACTGTACCTGCCACACCCCTGCTTTTTAATGGAGACGTTTTACACAGTCTGCCAAATCTTTTGTTGTCATAAGGAGTAATTTCAGCAGTCCGGTTTGGAACCAGTCCCTTCAGATTTTCCTTGTGTATATTATGTACCTTTCTCATCTGTGCTTCATGGAATACGATTGAAGGGGGCTACAGGCGTTCCCGGTTGTTCAGATGCTTTGACTGTATGCGAGCAGTGAAGGTTCTCTGTACGTTGTCCAGCTTAGAGAGTAGTAAGATTCTCAAAATTCATGAAAGGTATCAAAGGTAGCAGTCTTGCCTGCATTTTTCTACTGTCACTAAACAACAGTATTCCAACCTGGAGAGAACAAGCAAAATGAAGCGTATCATTGGCTCAGCATCTCTTGTCCTGAAAGTTCTAGTTATCCAGCCTATCATTTTGGTTGCTGCAGCAATGGCAGCATTGTTGTGATCTTGAATGTGATATCTAATGACATCATTACTCCTAAGTCTCGCACATGGGACTTTCGCTCTATTGAAGGATTCGAGTTTGTACCATACCCGAGTCCCCCCCCCCCCCCCTTCTTTCGTAGCGGAGCAATTGAAACTCATTTTTGTTAAACACAACCTTCAAGAGGAAACTCGACCAGATTTTGCAAAGGCGTTTGGTACAAGTGCGACCATGGAGTGATAGCGCACAAAATGAAGGCCATGGGCATGACAGGGAAGGTAGGCAGATGGATTTTCAGGTTCCTAACACGCACAACACATAGTAGTAGTAAACAGGGCAAGATCCAGCATCAGCGAGATCTAAAGCTCAGTGCCCCAAGGCACTGTCCTGGCACCTCGTCTGTTTCTCATCCTCATAGCAAAGATAGAAACGTTTACCCGGCATACTTTTGTATCATTTGCAGATGACACTAAAATAAGCATGAAAGTCACTACGGTACAGGACACTGGAAAAGTACAGGAAGACATAAGCAGGGTTTTCCCGTGGGCAGTAGAGAACATAACGTTCAATGGTGATAAGTTCCAGCTGCTTAGGTATGGAAAGAATGAAGAACTCGAAAGGAACACTATACAAAACTCAAGAGGGTCACCAAATAGAAGGTAAGGAACACGTAAAAGACCTGGGAATAATTATGTCAGCTGACCTTTCTTTTAAAGATCATAACAAGACAAAGATCACGACAGCCAGGAAGATGACGGAGTGGGTATTGAGAACTTTCAAAACAAAGGAAATAATGCCAGTGGTGACACTCTTCAAATCACTAGTGCTCCCTTGCTTAGAATATTGCTCAGTACTGACGGCCCCGTTCAAAGCAGGAGAAATATCGGAACTGGAACCAATACAGAGATCGTTTACGGCTCGCATTGAGCCAGTAAAGCACCTAAACTACTGGGAACGCCTTCAAGTCTTGAACATGTACTCATTGGAGCGGAGGGAGAGAGAGAGAGAGAGAGAGAGAGAGAGAGAGATGGAGAGAGAGAGAGAGAGAGATGGATGGATGGATGATAATGTATATTTGGAAAGTACTCGAGGGCCTGGTCCCAAATCTGCACACTGCCATAACATACTGGAGTTAGAGAGATGGGAGGAAGTGTAAAATAAGCTCAGTGAGGAGCAGGGGTGCGGTGGGGACAATAAGGGAACACTATCTCAACATCTGGGGTCCCAGACTATTCAACATCTTACCAGAAGATATCAGAAACATGGCTGGAACAAGTGTAGAAGCCTTCAAGACGAAACTGGACAAGTATCTTCACCAGGTGCCAGATCAACCAGGCTGTGATGGATATGTGGGGCAGTGGGCCTCCAGCAGCAGCAGCCTGGTTGACCAGGCACACACCAGACAAGTCTGGTCCCTGACTGGGCCCAGGGAGTAGAAAAACTCTCGGAACTCCTCAAAAGTATGTCAGAGGTAAAAGTACATAATATATTGTTGTCTAAGGCTCAATGGAAAAAACTGATTCATGTATCTGAAAATTTTGTGTTTGATGGGTGCTACTCTGGGTGTGACGGTGCTATTTGTGTACTTGTCACTGTAGGATATAAGAATGAGAAACAAGATGGACGAGTACTGTGCATTGAGGAACAAAACTTTTCATTGTTTACTGTTACTCTTGGGGTTCTGTTAAGAAAGTAAATATACATCTGTCCACTTTTTTAGTTACTTTTTTGGCATACATTTTGTGTGCTGTCACACCATAGTCGCACCTGTTGAACACTTATGCAAAATCAAGTAATATACATCATGTAATATACATAGTGTACACACTTTTTCCCATCCCCTCTCTTCCCCTTTCCTCTCCTTTTCACCATTTCCCCATTTTCCCTCTTTCCCCCTCGCCTTTTTTTCTTTCCATTTTGTTCACACTCTTCCGTTCCCCTTTACTATATGCTGTCTGATAATTTTACCTATCTTTTACTGTGAGCTTCATCTGCTGTATGCGATTCTGCTTGTTACTCGTGTCTTCTCTTTAGTGTTTTTTTTTCCCAGTGCCACCTGCATGTGTTTGCCAGACCTTTTAATCTTTATTTTATGTATATAATACATCTAGTCTGTCAGGTATGATAGAGATGTCTGTCTAGTTAGGGGTCTGTCATGGTTATGGGGGATTTCTTCTGAGGTGTAGCTTATGTGATCTAGTTTCAGGTTGTTAGTGGATGTGGGTAGAAAGGGTCAGTTGATTGGGGGAGATGAGCGGTTGTGTTTAGATAGGTTGCTGATAAGGGGAAAGAGGCTGGTGTTGGATATTGCGTAGGGACTATCTGTCTGTGTCTCTTCTCTGCTCCCTCAATTTCTGTTCCATTCTCTTAAGCGAATTGCTCAATGTTATGCCTATTTCTATATTCATTCTTTCTTTCTCCTGAATTAGCCTCCTTTCTTTGAATACTTTTCATTCTGTATTTTGCTAGAGCCATCCAAATATATTTCTTCTCATTTGTGAAATTTAGTTTCGTCTGTGGAAGTCATTAGTACGTCAAGGAATGAAAGTGTCGGGGGTTGCAGTTGGGATGTTCCAAAGTATCAGTATCATTACCAGTAGGTATTGGCTAATTTTAATGGTACTGGTATCAGTATTGGTGTGCGTCGCCTAATTTTGATTGTATCAGTATCATCCTAAAATGGAGTATTGGTATATGCTAGTGTGAGAATGAGAAGGGCAAGGAATGCCACCCTGAAGCAGGCTCAAGTCCCAGACAGATAGCAGCATTAGGTCCACTTGGCCACTAGCTTGTGATTTCGTCATCACATTAATCACATTGTCTAACATTTTGTTAAAAGCAAAATGACGTATGTCAATGGCATTACATACAAAATGCGAAAGTGAAAAATATCTTCCTAATAGTGTAGAAAAGAAGAAATGTATGCAAAGAGCATGTCTTTTTTCCAGTTCCTCTTTTATGGGGTGAAGGAGGTCATAGATTCTTATTTTTACAGGTGTGACCTCGCCGTTTGCTGATCAAGGGCCTGCGTGAACTGCTCTACGAAGTAGACCACTGGGAGATATGCCGTTACACTTGGGTGACAATCCCTGGAAAATAATTGGAAGTGGCAGATTGCTTTCTAAGTGGACTGACAGCGTACCAGCAAGGCTCACTTGCCAAGGTTCGGTCGTAACATAAACAAACACTACTAAGCACTTGTATATATGAAAAATATTCACTGAAAATATGGCAAAACTTAATTAGCAAAAACAAAAATCTGTATACATAAAAAAAAGGTACCTTTCCTTGTGTAATATGGATTATATATATTGTTGTAACTGTGCATAAGGAAAATTGACCAGTTATGCTACTTATGGGCCGGAATTACTATCTTGGCCACTAAGAATACTGTATTTCATCATAGCTACTACTTGTTGAGGCATGTAGCTTGTGTTGCCACTGATTCTCCTTTCACCATTGAGGATATTGAGTGCGCAACATGAAGATCCAGTTTGGTTGCCTGTTTATAGCAAAAGAGGAAATCTTTGAATCGAATAGAGGTGTTCCAAAGTATTTGTATTGGTGGGCATCGGCTAATTTTGGTGGTTCTAGTGTCTGCCTAAAATTAAGTATTGCTATCGTCACAAAAAATCGACATCGTCCTGTTCCCAGAATAAAGTCTCTTGTGCTGTTAAGTGACTCTGTAATGAATAAACTATCAGATCTCAATAGTTGTACACTTATTGGTGGTTTATATCCTTGGTACCTGACACTTAGAAATTGATGTGGCATACTAGATGTTGCTCACCCACAAGTAGATTACAGGGGTAGGCTAGAATGAAATAATTTTGCCTATGATAAGAAAATCAGAATACTAGAATAATAGTATATGTATTGCTGTGTATATGGGTTATAGCGACAAAAAAAAAAAAAAAAATGGGACACTAAAGTGGTCGTAATCCTATTCAAACTCACTCCGGTCTTCTCTACAGTTGCCTCCCTTGTATGATCATTTAGCGTCTGCCTTTTTTTCCCTTCAGGAGATAATAACTAGAACAGAGTATACTACAGACTCTGGCCATACAATAGAGCGGAAAAATAATGTAAGGGACCTGGGAGTAGTAATGTCTGAAGATCTCACTTTCAAGGATCACAACAGTGCTACGATTGCAAGTGCAAAGAAAATGATAGGATGGATAGTGAGAACGTTCAAAACGAGAGATGCTAAGCCAATGGTGATCCTTTTCAAATCACTTGTTCTTTCTAGGCTGGAATACTGCTGTACATTAACATCTCCATTCAAAGCAGGTGAAATCGCAGATCTAGAGAGTGTACAGAGAACCTTTACTGCACGTATAAGTTCTGTCAAGCACCTTAACTACTGGGAACGCTTGGAAGCACTTGACTTGTACTCGTTGGAACGCAGGAGGGAGAGAGATATCATAATCTACACTTGGAAAATCTTGGAAGGAATGGTCCCAAATCTGCACACACAAATCACTCCCTACGAAAGTAAAAGACTGGGCAGGCGATGCAAAATGCCCCCAATAAAAAGTAGGGGCGCCATTGGTACACTAAGGGAAAACGCCATAAGTGTCCGGGGCCCAAGACTGTTCAACAGCCTCCCATCAAGCATTAGGGGAATTGCCAATAAAGCCCTGGCTGCCTTAAAGAGATTGCTGGACAGATACCTAGTCAGTGCCGGATCAGCCGGGCTGTGGCTCATACGTTGGACTGCGTGCGGCCAGCAGTAACAGCCTAGTTGATCAGGCCCTGATCCATCGGGAGGCCTGGTCGTGGACCGGGCCGCGGGGGCGTTGATCCCCGGAATAACCTCCAGGTAATCCTTGTGAGGTTCCAACGGTTCGTGTCTGTTCTCCCCTACTGCCGTGTGACAAAGCTCCCATGCCTACAACTGCTTCTTGCTCTTTTTCTCGATTACTTCCGGTCGCATGCTCATGCCGTTGCTGTTTAAGCAGATGGTTCTAAATCTTCTGACGGTGTCGAGTTCACGGCGGTGTTGTCCGAGGTCATTTGTTAGACTAGTATTTTTACCGGCGAGTTGTATGCCATCCTCATAGCTCTTCTCTGTATTACACATGCGTCTCCTTCGACGTTTGTGATCATTTCAGATTCCCTCAGCGCTTTACAAGCCAATAAACAATTTGATTCCCCTCGTCCATTGGCCCTTCGTATTCAACTATGGTTGCGCCGTGTGGCTAGCAGAAACCAAGACGTCATTTTCTGTTGGGTCCCTGGACACGTTGATGTGCAGGGAAGTGAACATGTGGATACTGCTGTGCGGTCAATAGAGGTATTCCGTTTAGAGATTATTTTAGTCATCTCTGCCCGTCTTCGCGGCCGTTAGTAACAATGGTGGTCAGACATGCACCATAACAAATTGCACTCTATTAACCCCTTTTAGGTTTGTGGCCATCGTTCCACCGTTGCCGTACTCTGGAGACTGCTCTCCCGTCTCCGCATCGGTCATACCCACCTTACCCATGGGTATCTCATGGAACGAGACACTATTCCTCTCTGTGAGGTTTGTCGGATCCCTATTTCGGTTCTTCACTTTCATGTGGATTGCTCGCAGGATTTACCTCCAACGACGCCGCCGCCCTACCGCTCTTACCTTATCTTCCCTTCTTGCAGACGGCCCTGTCTTTGTCTTACAATCACTTTTTTACTTTGTCAGCTTTAATGTACGAACTTTGACACACAGCCCTTAGCATCCCTTTGGCTCTATTTTCTACCCCGCAGCGCTGCATAACCCTTGTCGGTTTAACGCTTTCTTTGATTATCATAATAATAATAATCCTATTCAAAAATATTGACTCTCCAAAGAGCCCGGACACTATCCTCAAAATTTACTGATAATTTGCCTCCCGCCTCTTGTTCACTGACGTCATGTCTACCCTTAAAGTTATAAGTGAAGAATAGTCATAATACTGTGGCTCGAACAATGCACAAATAACCCTCACTTAAGTGAAACTTGATTTAGGGAATTGGATCTGTGCTCCAGTTCCCCGAATTAAGCCTGAATGCCTTCCACATATCCCCCCCCCCAGGCGCTGTATAATCCTCCGGGTTTAGCGCTTCCCCCTTGATTATAATAATAATAATAATTAAGTGAAACTTGTAATAACATTTCAATCCGACGTGGACTATTAACCAGTCACACTGAAGCGAGAAGGGAAGGAGGGCAGAGTATATCTAAGAGGGGGAAAGAAAGGGTGTGCTAGAATTAGTAGAGCAGAAGTGTTGGAGGTACAAATAAGATAGTTGAAAACTATTATATACCATGGTATTATATACCATTCGTACACAAAAAAAAAAAAAAAAAAAAAAAAAACCGAAGGCAGTGTAGTACTTCTTCACTTGCTGCTGCTGATGCTGCTGCACCTGCTACCACCACCACCACCACCACCACCACTGCTGCTGCTGCTGCTGCTACTACTACTACTACTACTACTACTACTACTACTACACTTGCTGTTACTACAGTTGCTGCTCCCGCCTTACTACTAGCTGCTGCTGCTGTTACTACTACACTTGCTGCTGCTACTACTGTTACTACTACACTTGCTGCTACTGTTACTACTACACTTGCTGCTATTGTTCTACTCCCTGCTGTGCTACTACAAACTTGCTGTTTGCTGCTAATATATTGTTACTACATACACTTGCTGCTGCTACTACTAAACTTGCTGCTCTCTTTTAATCCCTAGTGTATACTACTTTTACTACACCTTCTGCTGCTGCTACTACTACACTTGCTGCTGCTGCTGCTACTACTACTACACTTGCTGCTGCTGCTACTACTGCTACTACAACACTTGCTGCTGCTGCTACTACTACTACTACTACTACTACTACTACTACGCTACTGCACTACTACTCCCTGCTACTACTACTACCTTGCTGCTCTACTACTACTACACTTGCTGGCTGCTACTACTACTACCTACACTTACTGCTGCTGCTACTCCCTACTACACTTGATGCTGCTACTACTACTACACTTGCTGCTGCTGCTACTACACTTGCTACTGCTACTACACTTGCTGCTGCTACTACACTTGCTGCTGCTACTAACACTTGCTACTGCTACTACACTTGCTACTGCTACTACACTTGCTGCTACTGCTACTACACTTGCTACTACTACTACTACTACACTTGCTGCTGCTGCTACTACTACTACACTTGCTGCTGCTGTTAATACTACTACACTTGCTACTGCTATTTACACTTGCTACTGCTACTACACCTTGCTGCTACTGCAAACTAACACTTGCTACTACTACTATACACTTGCAGTTTGCGGGCTGCTACTACTACTACACTTGCTGCTGCTGTTACTAACTGCTATTAACTTTAATTTACACATTGCCTGCTACTACTACTACACTTGCCGCTGCTGCTACTACTACACTTGCTGCTGCTACTACTACTACTACTACACTTGCTGCTGCTACTACTACTACACTTGCGCTGCTGCTGCTACTACTACTACTACTACACGTGCTGCTGCTACTACTACACGTGCTGCTGCTACTACTACACTTGCTGCTACTACTACTACTACACTTGCTAATACTACTACACTTGCTTCTACTACTACACTTGCTGCTACTACTACTACTACACTTGCTGCTGCTGCTACCACCACTACTACTACTACACTTGCTGCTACCACCACTACTACTACTACACTTGCTGCTGCTGCTACCACCACTACTACTACCTACTACACTTGCTGCTGCTGCTACCACTACTACTACTACTACTACACTTGCTGCTGCTGCTACTACTACACTTGCTGCTACTACTACTACACTGGCTGCTGCTGCTGCTGCTACTACTACTACTACTACACTTGCTGCTACTACTACTACACTTGCCGTTGCTGCTACTACTACTACACTTGCCGCTGCTGCTACTGCTACTACACTTGCCGCTGCTGCTACTACTACACTTGATGCTGCTACTACTACTACTACTACACTTGCTGCTACTACTACTACACTTGCTGCTACTACTACTACACGTGCTGCTGCTACTACACTTGCTGCTACTACTACACTTGCTACTACTACTACACTTGCTGCTACTACTACTACTACTACACTTGCTGCTGCTGCTACCACCACTACTACTATTACTACACTTGCTGCTGCTGCTACCACCACTACTACTACTACACTTGCTGCTGCTGCTACACCTACTACACTACTACTTGCTAGCGCTACAGCTTGCTGCTGCTGCTGCTACTACTACTACTACTACTACTTACTACTACTACTACACTTGCTGCTGCTGCTACTACTGCACTTGCTGCTGCTGTTACTACTACACTTGCTGCTGCTGCTACTACTACTACTACTACACTTGTTGCTGCTACTACTACTACTCCACTTGCTGCTGCTGCTGCTACTACTACTACACTTGCTGCTACTGTTACTACTACACTTGCTGCTGCTGCTGCTGCTGCTACTACTACTACTACACTTGTTGCTGCTACTACTACTACTCCACTTGCTGCTGCTGTTACTACTGTTACTACTACACTTGCTGCTGCTACTAAACTTGCTGCTTCTCTTACTACTAGTGTTACTGCTACTACACTTGCTGCTACTACTACTACACTTGCTGCTGCTACTACTACTACACTTGCTGCTGCTGCTACTACTACTACACTTGCTGCTGCTGCTGCTACTACTACTACACTTGCTGCTGCTGCTGCTGCTGCTGCTGCTGCTACTACTACACTTGCTGCTGCTACTACTACTACACTTGCTGCTGCTGCTACTACTACTACACTTGCTGCTGCTGCTGCTACTACTACACTTGCTGCTGCTACTACTACTACTACTACTACTACTACACTTGCTGCTGCTACTACTACACTTGCTGCTGCTACTACTACACATGCTGCTGCTGCTGCTGCTACTACTACTACTACTACTACTACACTTGCTGCTGCTGCTGCTGCTGCTGCTACTACTACTACACTTGCTGCTGCTGCTGCTACTACTACTACACTTGCTGCTACTACCACACTTGATGCTGCTACTGCTACAACACTTGCTGCTGCTGCTACACATGAGTTAGCCTGTCTTTCATAGGCTTGTGTCCTGGGAGTGCCTTTTCTGCCTTAGTAATGTAGGTCCTGTTTGGCATTTTCTTCCAGAACAGGCCTGTTTTGTCACAATTGAACACTTATTGGGGTTTGAATTTTTCAGCCTCGCCATGCCTTATCACACTGTGTATGCCACTGCGATTCATAAATCTCTCAACCCAACCTTTGCTGGCCTTAAATTCACCAATATGATCACTGATTTTAGGCATATTTTCCTGTTCACCTGGGTGTTAGTCAGCTGGTGTGGGTTGCATCCTGGGGGATAAGATTAAGGACCCCAGTGGAAATAGGTTAGATAATCCTTGATGCTCTGACTTTCTTGGGTTATCCTGGGTGGCTACCCCTCTGGGGTTAATTGTTTCTCGGATAATTGTTTCTCGTTAATCCACACCAACAACAGTCTCTCCACATCTTCGAGTAGTATTTGTGATCTCTGTTTTGTAAGCATATTTGCACCATTCACAACAACTTCCTTGATTGCCTTTTTCTTGGCCATGATAGTAGTGATGGTTGAATGGGGTTTGTTATATAACCTGGCCAACCTGGAGACATGCACTCCACTTTCGTATTTTGCAATGATCTCTTTCTTCAATTCATTAGTATTTCTCGCCCTCTTTACCACAGGGCTGGCACTAGAAGCTTTCTTTGGGCCCATGGTGGCTTATTTAGCAGTTACAAGCACATAAAACAGTGGAATAACACAAAATGTATCACATTTACGTGTGGAATCATCCTCGCTGGCTTGTAAACAATGGCACACTAGCTTCACATGGAGTCATGGAGTGGCCGAGTGGCTCAGACCACGCGGACATGTTTGAGGCGAATGTCCTTAACCGAGTTCTTGGGCATTAGCCGAGCCAGTATTTTGACGTAATAACTTGGCGCTATCCAATTTTGGCGTTAGCCGATGATGCCGTTACCTGACGGTCCACTGTACTATAGTTTTACATACAGAAAACAATGAGAAATATAAATTTTAATGGATAAATGAACATGTAAATCAGTTTTACCTTTATTGAAGATGCTTGTTGATGTATGAGAGAGGCAGGAGAGTTTGTAGGCAGGACAAGATAGTCCTTCAATATGACGCTAATATCAACTCCACGGCTTGTGTCATATGTCTCACTCCCTAACTGACGAGTGCTGCTGCGTTTGTTGGGTGTATAAGGGCCGCTAAGATAAACCTTACATGGTGGCGATGGCGGCAGCAGAGATGGCGGTGTTTTCAGTCGCCCTATATAACTCCAACAACATTGGAGGAGTCGGTTTCATGCTGTCCTTTTTCTCTCGATTAATCGCTTAACTTACTTGCTACACTGTTAATGCTACACTTTATCGCTGGCTGGTGCTATAGCCTTTATGGATTCGTGCTGCTTTAGTATCATGCATATTATAGAATCACTGAAGAAGGCACGTTCTCCCCTCTTCCTCCTCCACTTTGGTACTTTGCTACAATTTCTTTTTTCAATTCTATCATCATGTTTCTCACTTTCTTTACCAAAGGGCTGTCACTATGAAATTTCTTTGGGCCCATGGTAGCTTATTTCAGTCACAATCAATAAACAAGCACCAAACACAATGAATTTATTGTGAAATGTTTGGATGAGCACGCAGGGTAATGTTCACTCAAGGATAAACAAAGTTAGACTGGTTCACGCTGCCTGCGTGGGCAGGCGCAGACAGGTCTGGTACGCCGGCTGAAACGTGGGGGCACAGGCTGAAACTCGGGACAAAATTTAGCTGAAGAAAGTGGTCGAAACTCAAAGCGGCCAATACTCAGGGTAGCCGAAACTTGGGGCTCCACTGTGCTAGAAAATACAGAAGGGCCTCGCTTTACGGCATTTCACTATTACGTACATCGGTTTTCAAGTACGCCCATTCTTCATTTATTCAGACTTCTACAATATTCACCACTCGCTATAAGCTAAGGTTGAAAATATTTTAAGGTAAGTAATATGCGTACTGTGTATGCGTTTATTTTTTTTTTTTTTAGACCAAGGTCTATGGGTCACTTAATATGATAATGTGAACATCAAGCTTTCATATGCATCTGTAAAATGAAAAAAGGGTGTTTCACTTTACAGCAGTAGCCCAGAACCTAACCTGCTGTAGAAGCGGTGCTCACCTGTACATCTTATTTCTCCCCCTCAACAAATACCAAAAGTAAAAAAAAATAAGCTTTAAAAATCTCTCCCCCCCCACCTCCCCTCAAAAAAAAAAAAAAAAAATTACAGGTATGAAATCGTTTTGCTAATGTGTGAATGCTGTTTTGGAAAATATTCATTCATGAATACTGCATATAAAATTTGTTGTGTATAAATATTGCCGTTAAAATTGGCACTTGCCAAGAAGCTTTCTTTTGAGATAATTATGTATACACACACAAGATAATTTAAATCTGCAAAACTTCATTCAGGTAATCCCATCCATGATGAAATACCATCTGGCAAGTCAAATGGCATGATGGCTTTGACACCCACCAATATACCAGTTGCACAACTTCTTAAACATTGCCATATATTTTTTCCTGAATTTAACAGAAATATAAAAAACAAAATGAAGTAAACGGTCAAAAGTTGCCAAAATTTCGTATGTCAAATAAGAATCACATGATGTAATCTCTAATATCAAGGTTGTAATAAACTGCACAACTCCAAATAAACCAAATACGTATGTTTAATTTTTAATATTTGTTGACTGCCTGGTAAACCAGGCAGTCAACAAATAAGGCTGAGCAACTAGAGTAGAAGAAATATATCACAGATTGGTTTAATATCCTCGTTCATTTTCACCACCTTGCCTACCTGGAGGGTGTTCCAGGGGTCAGCGCCCCCCATGGCCTGGGCCTTTGTGTTACTTTTCCCACAGTGGTTGACATGGGTACACAAAATTTATAACTCTGTTGTTGCACATATATCAAAAAGTAATAACAGTTTTTTATATATTTGCATGGAGTACAACTTTTTATGTAATTGTAGTAATGTAGCATGCCTAAAAATGCTCTGGAATGTTCTTAAGAGTTTCTGGGGTTCAATTCTTCCAAGAAGCCTAGGAAAGCCATAGAATGTTTATGGTAAATTTCATACTGGATATTAAATCACAGCTTGACAATTTTTCAGGACATACTCATGTGTAGAATAAAGATAAAAATAAGTGTTGTGTGTTTTAAAATTGTTTTATTTATGGAAATTGGGTACATTATCTTAGAGCATTATACAACTGTTCAATTGTTACATATACATGTAGTATGTAGAATCGATGCCAATATGTATGGGTATATATACATAATATGCAGAGCAACCTTAATTAGCACTGTGTTGCTCAGGGTTGAGGCTTTACCAGGGTATATAAAGGATATTTTTTACATATAGCTATTCAAAAAGTAAACACTCAGTGAAGCCAGCGCAGTGTTGGATCATTATTACATTTGAAGCTAATGATGATCCAGTAGGCATATTTCAGTGCTCAGCTACATGCATCACCACCACTTTATGTAAGGTGGTTTACTGTTGACCTCACTCTGTAAGTATCCTATATACAGCTATGTTGTGTAAAAAAGTATCCTCTGTATGACTTGATAAAGCTCATCCACTGGAGAAGTCTAGTCCCAAATAAGGTGTTCTGCATAGTCTCTACACCCAGTTCACATGCTACTCTTGTTTTGAGTAGGTAACTCTTATGTATCAATAAATGGTTTACATGCCTTTTAAATTAAATATTAAATAATATTTATTGTATAATTTGTCCTTATTTTTGAAGGCGGGGCGATGAAGAAGAAGAAGAGGGAAGTGAGCAGAGTGCTGTGAACAATGGGTCATTGACATCTGAGGAGGCTGTAGATGATCAGGACGATAGTGGAATTCAAGAGTCCAGAGAAGGAGACAGTGGGGCAGAGAATTGTAGTGCTGTTATGGATCTCTCGGGCAGTGTCCCACCATCTAATAAGAGACACAGAGAAGGTGAGCTGCATTATTTTAGATGTTTTCATTCCCATGATTAAGCATAAAATAGGATACATTTCTTGAGCATTTACAGTACAGTTCTCTTTTCTGTTTGAAATTCTTGCTTTCACATTTTTTTTTTTTTAAATTTGGAATAGTCTCTGATGAAATTTTGAATATTTTTGAACAAAGGCAAGAATTAAATGTTAATTTTCAACTGGTTTGCACAATAAACTGCAGCTGTCTTAGCTTAAAGGGAGTGTAGTTGCATAACTGTGATCAGGTATCCTGTGATGCTGGCAGGCAAACATGCTATTTTCTTTAACTCTAGTTTTATTCATTTATTTCATGGAAGGAGTGCTAATACCATAAGGGTCATACCGCATTTTGGAAAATGGGGCAGTTAGTCAATTCAGGGAAAGGGAGGGCAACTTCAGTTTCTTGGCTCGAAAGAATGTCACTTGTGCCAAAGCACCTCCCTTGAAGTTGTTTTTCTTCCGATGTATTAAGCCATACAGATGTCATTAGTATATACTATATACATATATAATAAAAGTAGTTACATAATACAACAGTAGAGGTGTAACTGAACCCTCCAGGGAGGTAACTTGATGCTGGTGAGAAGCTAATGATCACATTCCCCTGGGTGCTTAACAACTCTTATGATCTTTTCCCTAAATATAATGACACCAACAACATCTGTAACTAAACATACATAAATAAAACAAGTCAATTTATTTAGGGCTCCCTATCCTCTTTACTTGATCTGAATGTAACATATTTATGTGTGAGGCTAGACACAGTGTACAAATTGACAAATGAATAGAAGTTAAACTTTCACGAATTCCGTTGTTCCTCTCCCACAGGCCTCCGTTAGCATGGTAAAAATGAAGCCATTGTTAAATTAACAATAAGGAATATTGAATATAATTTTTATTCCTCAAATATTAAGTTTAAAAACCATTGTTCAGAAAGAACTAGTAAACAGATTTGAAGTAGGACAGTACAGGTAGGAACTAGCAGAAAAATTGTCCTTCAGAAAGAAATGTCAATTAAAACATGTCAATAGAAAAAGTTAAAATCAGCAGCTTACAAGATGTCACTATTAGACTAAGGTTAGGCTCTATTTAGCTATATCCTCAAGAGAAGTCCCTTTATGCCAATAAGGGGTTCTTGATCCAAGGAAGTGAACCTGTCCTTCCTTTCCATGGATTGAACCTGATTGCCTTACATTCCCTAGGTGCTGTATCATTCCTTTGTGTTTGATACTTCTCCTACATATAATAATAAAATAGTACACAAATAACCTGCACATAGGAGAGAGAAACTTAAGAGGACGTTTTGGTCCTACTTGGACCATTTACAAAGTCTCGCTAGCCACACTAGCACAAAAGAGTGACGGATCTAGTATATATGGACAGGGACAGGACAAAAAGAGAGAGAAAAAAAAAACATTCTGAGAGTTAATTTCTCATCAGCAAGATGCACAGACCTTGGTCATCACAACTCTGAAACCCAACAGTAATTGTATAGTAATACTGTACACTGAAGTTTATTATTTTTTTTTTTTTTCGTTTTAATTAGTAGCTTGCACTCATAATATGATGGGTATTACTCTGGGCATATTTAATAAAAAAAATTGTATCTTATGGCTGATAATGATATTTTTACTGAAGCTTTGAGGTGACTGTAGTTATGGTGGAGGTAGGTGACACATGTGGAACTACTTGTCATAAATTTTTATAAGTATTGTGCAAGGTCTCACAAACCCTCATAACACATGTCTCTACCAACAAGCAAAGACAGCTGTAATGTAAAGAATAAAACTTTTAATATCTTTGAGTCTTGAGAATCACAAGCCTAAAAAAAAATTATTTTTAGGGGGTCTGCAGAACTTAACCTTACTGTCACTGGGGAGCCTTTAATTGAGCTATGTGCAGAAAGAGGTTTGGTAATAAGTAATACATATTTTATGAAAAAGAGGATAAATAAATATACAAGGTATGATGTAGCACGTAATGAAAGTAGTTTGTTAGATTATGTATTGGTGGATAAAAGGTTGATGGGTAGGTTCCAGGATGTACACGTTTATAGAGGGGCAACTGATATATCGGATCATTATCTAGTTGTAGCTACAGTTCGAGTAAGAGGTAGATGGGATAAGAGGAAAATGGCAACAACAAGTAAGAGGGAGGTGAAAGTGTATAAACTACGGGAGGAGGAAGTTCGGGTGAAATATAAGCAACTATTGGCAGAAAGGTGGGCTGGTGCAAGTATGAGTAGTTGGGGGGGAGGGTTGAAGAGGGTTGGAATAGTTTTAAAAACGCAGTATTAGAATGTGGGGCAGAAGTTTGTGGTTATAGGAGGGTGGGTGCAGGAGGAAAGAGGAGTGATTGGTGGAATGAAGAAGTAAAGGATGTGATAAAAGAGAAAAAGGTAGCTAATGAGAGATATTTACAAAGCAGAAGTGTTATAAGAAGAGCAGAGTATATGGAGAGTAAAAGAAAGTTGAAGAGAGTGGTGAGAGAGTGCAAAAGGAGAGCAGATGATAGTGGGGGAGGTACTGTCAAGAAATTTTAATGAAAATAAGAAAAAAGTTTGGAGTGAGCTAAGAAAGCTTAGGGAACAAATGGATTTGTCAGTTAAAAAACAGAGTAGGGGAGTTAGTAGATGGGGAGATGGAGGTTTTGGGTTGGTGAGAATATTTTGAGGAACTTTTAAATGTCAATGGAGAAAGGGAGGCTGTAATTTCATGCACTGGCCACCCATGTATACCATCTTTTAGGAGTGAAGAAGAGCAGGATGTGAGTGTGGGGGAGGTGCGTGAGGTATTATGTAGAATGAAATGGGGTAAAGCAGTTGGAACTGACGGGATCATGACAGAAATTTTAAAAGCAGGGGGGGTGGGACATAGTGTTGGAATGGTTGGTATTTTTGTTTAATAAATGTATGAAAGAGGGGAAGGTACCTAGGGATTGGCAGAGAGTGTGTATAGTCCCTTTATATAAAGGGAAGGGGGACAAGAGAGATTGTAAAAATTATAGAGGAATAAGTTTACTGAGTATACCAGGAAAAGTGTACGGTAGGGTTGTTATTGAAAGAATTAGAGGTAAGACAGAATGTAGAATTGCGGATGAGCAAGGAGGTTTTAGAGTGGGTAGGGGATGTGTAGATCAAGTGTTTACATTGAAGCACATATGTGAGCAGTATTTAGAAAAAGGTAGGGAAGTTTTTATTGCATTTATGGATTTAGAAAAGGCATATGATAAGAGTGGATAGGGAAGCAATGTGGCAGATGTTGCAAGTACAGTGGACCCCCGGTTAACGATATTTTTTCACTCCAGCAGTATGTTCAGGTGCCAGTACTGACCGAATTTGTTCCCATAAGGAATATTGTGAAGTAGATTAGTCCATTTCGGACCCCCAAACATACACGTACAAACGCACTTACATAAATACACTTACATAATTGGTCGCATTCGGAGGTGATTGTTATGCGGGGGTCCACTGTATATGGAATAGGTGGTAAGTTACTAAATGCTGTAAAGAGTTTTTATGAGGATAGTGAGGCTCAGGTTAGGGTGTGTAGAAGAGAGGGAGACTACTTCCCGGTAAAAGTAGGTCTTAGACAGGGATGTGTAATGTCACCATGGTTGTTTAATATATTTATAGATGGGGTTGTAAAAGAAGTAAATGCTAGGGTGTTCGGGAGAGGGGTGGGATTAAATTATGGGGAATTAAATAGAAAATGTGAAGTGACAGAGTTATTTTTGCTGATGATACTGTGCTTATGGGAGATTCTAAAGAAAAATTGCAAAGGTTAGTGGATGAATTTGGGAGTGTGTGTAAAGGTAGAAAGATGAAAGTGAACATAGAAAAGAGTAAGGTGATGAGGATATCAAATGATTTAGATAAAGAAAAATTGGATATAAAATTGGGGAGGAGGAGTATGGAAGAAAATGTTTTCAGATATTTGGGAGTTGACGCGTCAGCGGATGGATTTATGAAGGATGAGGTTAAGTGAGTGGTGCATTGAGGTATATGTGGAGGCAAAAAATGTTATCTATGGAGGCAAAGAAGGGAATGTATGAAAGTATAGTAGTACCAACACACTTGTATGGGTGTGAAGCTTGGGTTGTAAATGTTGCAGCGAGGAGGCGGTTCGAGGCAGTGGAGATGTCCTGTCTAAGGGCAATGTGTGGTGTAAATATTGTGCAGAAAATTCGGAGTGTGGAAATTAAGAGGTGTGGAGTTAATAAAAGTATTAGAGGGCTGAAGAGGGTTTGTTGAGGTGGTTTGGTCATTTAGAGAGAATGGATTAAAGTAGAAAGACATGGAGAGCGTATAAATCTGTAGGGGAAGGAAGGTGGGGTAGGTGTCATCCTCGAAAAGATTGGAGGGAGGGGGTAAAGGTGTTGTGGGCGAGGGGTTTGGACTTCCAGGAAGCGTGCGTGAGCGTGTTAGATAGGAATGAATGAAGACAAATGGTATTTGGGACCTGACGAGCTGTTGGAGTGTGAGCATGGTAATATTTAGTGAAAGGATTCAGGGAAACCTGTTATTTTATATAACTGGACTTGAGTCCTGGAAATGGGAAGTACAATGCCTGCACTCTTAAGGAGGGGTTTGAGATATTGGCAGTTTGGAGGGATATATTGTGTATTTTTATATGTGTATGCTTCTAGACTGTTGTATTCTGAGCACCTCTGCAAAAACGGTGATAATGTGTGAGTGTGGTGAAAGTGTTGAATGATGATGAAAGTATTTTTTTTTTGGGGATTTTCTTTCTTTTTTGGGTCACCCTGCCTCGGTGGGAGACGGCCGAGTTGTTGAAAAAAAAAAAAAAAAAACTCTAAACTGTTGTATTCTGGGCACCTCTGCAAAAAAGTGATTGTGAGAGTGAGGTGAAAGTGTTGAATGATGATGAAAGCATTTTCTTTTTGGGGATTTTCTTTTTGGGTCACCCTGCCTCGGTGGGAGATGGCCGACTTGTTGAAAAAAAAAAAAATCTTATCCTGAACCTATCCTGGTTTTTACATTTTTTTTACTTTCATCTTTTTTGCATGCTCGACCACCCATCCCATTTCCAAAGCTATTCAGGCTGAAGATTTTGAAAATTTGGGCATAGAGGTAGATTCAATTAAAAGGGCCATTTGAGGAGTGTAATTGAAGGTTTATAAAAGGTTTTAGGTATTAAGAGCACAAGGACTTGTATATGATTTGAGAAGGCTTAAATTTCCTTGATTCAGAATGGTACCTTTTTTTATCCTGCTAATGGTTTGGGATATTGGCAGTTTGGAGGGATATGTTGTGTATCTTTATACGTATATGCTTCTAAACTGTTGTATTCTGAGCACCTCTGCAAAAGCAGTGATAATGTGTGAGTGTGGTGAAAGTGTTGAATGATGATGAAAGTATTTTCTTTTTGGGGATTTTCTTTCTTTTTTTGGGTCACCCTGCCTCGGTGGGAGACGATCGACTTGTTGAAAAAAAAAAAAAATATCAGAAAAGGATCATGCATGGTTTTGAATTGCCAGACAGACAGCATTAAAAGTAAAAGCATTTAAATTTATCACAAGGGTACTTTGAAATACAGATTTTAAGCATGTGAAATGGATTGATAAAAGTAGGTAAGAGGAGAGAGTTTTTTGTTGAGTTGCTTAAAATAAAATTTTACTTTTATTCTCGTGTGTGTTAATCAAAGTGGTTTCTCTTGAAAGGTGAAGATGACTCCGAGGTATCCGGCGAATGTGAGGCGCCACCTACATCTCGACCCCGGCTGACTTCCACCCCTGAAGCCAGTGTCAATCATGTCGAGAACTACCAACTTTCTTCTGACTTGGCAGATGATACTCCGAAGGTGAATGGAATCAGCAATGGGTATGAGAGTGACAGCAATGGTATCAATGATGTCAACGATGACGATGATGAAATGCCACCAGTCCCACCCATCAAGGAGCTGAGCCCAGAGGAATTGGCTGAGAAGATGAAGCTGGTTCATCGACTGCAGGTAGAGCTTCGCAATGAGGAGATGAAGCTGGTACTCCTCAAGAAGGTCAGGCAGTCCCAGGTGAGGCCTGCAGCCACAGCTAGTAGGGTTGATTTTGGGGGAATCGGCATAAAATTTTTTAGAACACAAGTCATCCCAGGTTTTTTCTGAGATTGGTGCCAGGCTCAACATGTGACAGGTTCAACTTGTTGAAACTTCAATAATACTTCATTAAAAGTATTTCCTTTCAAAGGAAGTATAAACTACATTGAAGTATTGTGGATGGAGCATTGCTGATCAAGTCGCATTTTTGGGAGTGTTAAAATAACATACATCAATTTCCCCTCCATCTGCTTCAGTCTACTTGTTTAGAGTGGCATTTTAAGTAAGGAGCAATTGATGTATTGTTTACCAGATGTAGTGGCTGGATGGATGAGTAAGAGACCAATCTTAGATTTGAACAGAATTGAGTTCTAAAATATGGCCAATGTAATTTTTGATATGCCTAGAATATTTAGGTATTTAAGGGATTCACCCATTTTGTTGAGGCGCAGGTCACATAGGAAGCTGCTAGACTTGATTATGGTTCTTGTAGCCGGATAACTTTTGCAGTTAGTCAGTGTAAAGGTTGAGAGTGGAATGGGGGTTTCATGGTTGACATTAATGCAACTTTTTCCACACTAACTTCATAATTTTTTTTTGATGTTTAATACACATGTGGTGTTTAAATAGTAAATGGGCTTTGATTCAAACTTTTCTTAGTGTTTGTAGCTTATTAACTAGTGTCATTATTCTCTGTTATGTTTCATTTTAATAAAAGGTGTTTTTTCCAAATATTTCGTATTTAGACTATTGTAGTTACATGTAGTGTATGTGCAAGTACCCCTTCCCACTTGACTCCTGGATTAATTTCACTGGAAAATAGCACTGATAATTAATCTAGTAATTGCATGAAAGATCCATATGCATGAGAGCCATAAATCGTATATTAATGTGGATATATACACAAACGTGATTTCTGTGCTACAATAGTAATTGTCTTCTGTTACATGAGTGTTGGTGTTACAGGTTATGAAGGAGAATGTTAGTGCAACTGCTAATGATGCCAAAACAGCACTGACAAAACTTCCGTCGAATACTACAGCTACTAAGCTGCCACCTTCACAACCTCCACCTCTAATAAAACACGACTTGGGTGCCAAGGTGGGGCTCTTTATTCTTATTACTGCTTTCTTTATTATTTTTTCCTGTTAACCCTGAAGGGTCCCCTTCAATTGGTTGAGTGAATTTTTTTTCTTCCTAAAACTTCATTTAGCTGGCAATATGAAGGACTCATCTGATTAGATTTAGTTTCAGTAACTAGGCCAAAATTCTTGGAACAGTTAGAATTGTAGGTATATTATGGTCAGAGTTGTAGAACCTATCCCTAACTTTCTAGAATGGCTCTGATATCTTTCAAAACCCTCTGTTGCTTGGCTTCAGACATTCCAAAAAAAAGATGCCTCCTAATTAAACAGTTGTGGAGAGTGAAGTCAGGTGTGCAGGTGCACACATCTGCTAATTTTGTGAAAAAATTTGGAATTTTTTTTTTTTCCCAACAAGTTGGCCATCTCCCACCGAGGCAGGGTGACTCAAAAAGAAAGAAAATCCCCAAAAAGAAAATACTTTCATCATCACTCACACATAATCACTGTTTTTGCAGAGGTACCCATAATACAACAGTTTATAAGTATATACATCTAAAAATACACAATATATCCCTCCAAACTGCCAATATCCCAGACCCCTCCTTTAGAGTGCAGGCATTGTATTTCCCATTTCCAGGACTCAAGTCCGGTTATGTAAAATAACCGGTTTCCCTGAATCCCTTCACTAAATATTACCATGCTCACACTCCAACAGCTCGTCAGGTCCCAAATACCATTTGTCTGCATTCACTCCTGTCTAACACATTCACGCACGCTTGCTGGAAGTCCAGAACCCTTGCCGACAACACCTTTATTCCCTCCCTCAAACCTTTTCGTGGACAACCCCTACCCCGCCTTCCTTCCCCTACAGATTTGTACGCTCTCCATGTCATTATACTTTGATCCATTCTCTCTAAATAAATGACCAAACCACCCCAACAAACCCTCTTCAGCCCTCTGACTAATACTTTTATTAACTCCACACCTTCACCTAATTTCCACACTCTGAATTTTCTGTAATATTTACACCACACATTGCCCTTAGACAGGACATCTCCACTGCCTCCAACTGCCTCCTCGCTGCAGCATTTACAACCCAAGCTTCACACCCATATAAGAGTGTTGGTACTACTAAACTTTCATACATTCCCTTCTTTGCCTCCATAGATAACATTTTTTGCTTCCACATATACCTCAATGCACCACTTACCTTTTTTTCTTCATTAGTTCTATGATTAACCTCATCCTTCATAAATCCATCTGCTGACATGTCAACTCCCAAATATCTAAAAACATTCACTTCTTCCATACTCCTCCTCCCCAATTTGATATCCAATTTTTCTTTATCTAAATCATTTGATATCCTCATCACCTTACTCTTTTCTATGTTCCCTCAACTTTCTGCCTTTACACACACTCCCAAATTCATCCACTAACATTTGCAATTTTTCTTTAGAATCTCCCATAAGCACAGTATCATCAGCAAAGAATAACTTGTCACTTCCCACTTTGTATTTAATTCCCCATAATTTAATCCCACCCCTCTCCTGAACACCCTAGCATTTACTTTTTACAACCCCATCTGTAAATATATTAAACAACCATGGTGACATTACACATCCCTGTCTAAGACCTACTTTTACCGGGAAGTAGTCTCCCTCTCTTCTACACACCCTAACCTGAGCCTCACTATCCTCATAAAAACTCTTTACAGCATTTAGTAACTTACCACCTATTCCATATACTTGCAACATCTGCCACATTGCTCTCCTATCCACTCTATCATATGCCTTTTCCAAATCCATAAATGCAATAAAAACTTCCCTACCTTTATCTAAATACTGTTCACATATATGCTTGAATGTAAACACTTGATCTACACATCCCCTACCCACTCTAATACCTCCTTGCTCATCCGCAATTCTACATTCTGTCTTACCTCTAATTCTTTCAATAATAACCCTACCGTACACTTTTCCTAGTATACTCAGTAAACTTATTCCTCTATAATTTTTACAATCTCTTTTGTCCCCCTTCCTTTTATATAAAGGGACTATACACGCTCTTTGCCAATCCCTATGTACCTTCCCCTCATTCATACATGCCAACCACTCCAACACTGTTTTTCCCTGCTTTTAACATTTCTGTCATGATCCCGTCAGTTCCAGCTGCTTTACCCCATTTCATTCTGCGTAATGCCTCATGCACCTCCCCCACACTCACATCCTGCTCTTTTTCACTCCTAAAAGATGGTATACCTCCCTGGCCAGTGCATGAAATTACCGCCTCCCTCTCTTCGTCTACATTTAGAAGTTCCTCAAAATATTCTCTCCATCTACCCAATACCTCCATTTCCCCATCTACTAACTCCCCTACTCTGTTTTTAACTGACAAATCCATTCGTTCCCTAGTCTTTCTTGACTTGTTTAACTCGCTCCAAAATTTTTTCTTATTTTCATTAAAATTTCTTGACAGTGCCTGTCCCACTATATCATCTGCTCTCCTTTTGCACTTTCTCACCACTCTCTTCACCTTTTATTTTACTCTCCATATACTTTACTCTTCTTATAACACCTCTTCTTTGTAAATGCCTCTCATAAGTTACCTTTTTCTCTTTTATACTAAATATTTTTGAGTACCTCTTCTCAGTTCCATGACTGTTTAATGACTGGTTTGTCTCAGTTCCATGACTCTTTAACCCTTAAACTGTCTAGACAGATCTACGTTCACATGCGTAGTGCTCCAAAAGTAGATCTACATTTTTTAACATATTTTCAAATATAACCAAAAAAAAAAATGTAGATCAAAGTTTTTTTTACGTTTTCAAATGTAAAAAAAGAAAAAAGAAGCTCTACGTGTTTTTAGATACTTTCAAATGCTGAAAAAACATAGATCTACATTTGGACAGTTTAAGGGTTAATAACTGACACATCTTACAGGCAGGATATTACTCCCTAAGTTTAGCTTATATATAGGCAAATTTGTCAATACACTAAATTAGTTGGAAAAAAAAAAATGGGTATCTTTGGAATCCCTCCAGTAACTTGAAAATGCTTCTTCTAATTGGCTTGAAGTTTTGTGTTGGTGTGCTTTCTAGAATGCATGCTTTGCTAAGTTCTTAGCTCATTAAATAAATTGTGTAATTGATTGATTTCTTTTAAAAAAGAATGCTTATTATCATCAGCTTGACACTATCACCAATGATGCCTTTCATGAAATGTATTGTTTCAGTACTGTATGGTCACTGCATGCCATCTCTCGGTATTCCATTTCAAGCTGATCAGGCACCAACTTAAGTAACTTGTTCAGTACTACTGAAATAATTGATGTCATATTCCCAGAAGGATACCAGGTAATAGGGAAACGTAAGAGGAAAAGGGCAGGAGGCAGAATGGATCAGCTAGTTAGAAATTATTGGAGTTTTGAAGATAGGACAAATAGAAATGAACTAATTAATTACGAAAGGGGTTACAATGAATTCGGGGAGACCCAGAGTGATGGTAGCTAGGATTTACAATCCACCACCAAGCAGTAAGAGAAGATGGGAGTATGAAGAATAAAATGAGAAAGGGTTTGACACCTTAAAAACAGCGAAGAGTTTTTAGGGCTAAAGTAAAGTTATTAATCATGGATAACTTCAACCACAAAGAAATAGATTGTCAACTGGGAACGCGTGTGGTGCCATAAACATGAAGAGTCCCGTAGATGGAAGCAGTTAGAGAAAACTTATCTTGTTTGCAATGTTAAGGCATGATGAGAAAAGATGTGAACCAGCAGACTGGATGATGTATTTACCTCAAATACATCTTACATAGGTGAAATGGAATAACTGAGAGCTGGTGTGCCAGTGACCATACAGTACTCAACTTCATATTTCTTGTGGAACTAAAAGAATGAGGCTAGAAAGGCCTTGTGACCCTTTTACAAATCACAAAAATGAGCTTGAAAAAGGGGCCCAGGTTACTTGACATACATACAGATAAGCTGTGTGGGGCAAATTTTGAGCTAGATATGAGAGAATGGGGCTGTGCGTTGAGTGTGAACCATGTCAAAAAAAAAAAAAAAAAAAATCCTCACCCATGCAGGGCATCATGGGGAAAATAGAAAACTGACCATGTGCGTGAATTAAATAGGACTGGCATTTTCTCAGATGGCTTTTTTGGCTGTTTCTTGATGTCATTTGATAGAATAGAAGACATGCTAGTAAAATAAAGATAATTTTTGATTGGCTTCAGGACTGGAAGTAGCTTGAAATTGAACTGAAATTTGTGGAAATATTTTTTGCCGTATTACATTGAACAGGTTAGGCTCCCCCTACAACCCCCAGTCTGTTTTATTGATGGTTTCTTATTAAGGTCTGATGCAGTAATTCGGGAGCTGTAACAATGAACAAGATTTCCCGTTATATTATTTTTGTCCAGAAAATAAAGGAAATCTATATTTTTGTGTGAATAAGAATTCAAAATGGAAGGACAAGTGTTAATACAGTGGACCCGCTTAACCATCACCTTTCTAATGTGCACCAATTATGTAGTGTATTTATATAAGTGCGTTTGTAAGTGTATGTTTGGGGGTCTGAATGGGGACTAATTTACTTCACAATATTTCCTTATGGGAAAACAAATTCAGTCAGTACTGGCACCTGAACATACTTCTGAATAAAAAAATATCGTTAATCGGGGGTACCAATGTATAGGAGAGGCTCAGGCTGACAAATGTAAGTGGAAATGTTGTTTTAGTGTCAGACTGTCGACTTGTTTATTTTGTTTATACTCTTATTTAAAAATTGGTATTTTTTTTTAATTATGGAAATTGGCCAAATTTCCAATTCTAATAATAGGTGGTTGTAATTCGTTGTACGGAAAGTTTCTTGTGCTTGGTTGATAGTATCGGAAAGATATATAGCGCAATATAGCTAAGATATGTTGACTGGAATCAATAGCATTGACCTTAAAAGGTAAGGACTGGGGGGGGGGGGGATTGTTATGAGAACCACTAATTGCGCCAGCGTAATTA